TGGGGGGGAAAAATAAAAAAAAAATAAATAAAAAAAAAAAAAAAATAAGAAAAGGAGGTTTGTCCAGGGTTGTAAGATCGATCAACCATCTCAAATCACTGAGCAATCATTACTCTAGCTTGCATGCCAGTCTTACAACACTGAGAAAGAAAACAGTAATTAGTTTGAATATTTTGACTAATACAAGAATTCCACGGAGTAAGAGAAATAGGAATTGCAATCCGGGTCACAAATGGAAACCAATACCGGAAGGGAGCCAGCTAAACAAATCAAGACTGGGTGTAGGATCGTTTAAGGCATTCACCTGTTTTTCTCATGTGCTTTAGCAGAGATGATACATTGGAAGATTTATCAGATATAAAAACACAGCATTCAGTTTGAATGATATATATACACCAACTTGGGATGCTGTAAGAATATCTAAGGCCATTCTATTTTGAAGGACAGCCTTTCTCATTAAAGATGTTTCAGTATCTAATAAAGCTATTCCTGCTTGACTACTGTTAAGGGCTTCTGTATGTGATATGACATCCTCTAGCCCCAAAGAAGGAACATATATAGGTAGCTGCTTGGTGGTCATACCAGTGGAACACTGAATGAGCCCATCTGGCCTTAAAGAGAGGAAGATTGGCAACCGGTATTAGCTCAGGGCTACTCTTCCTCACCAAACAAACAAGGAAACTATGCACTTAATGCTCTGTTCCTTACTGCATCAATTTTTAGTAACAGTGCGGGCATAGGGTAAAATGAGTGAGGCATTCCCCTTGGACACAATTTAAGGAAGCACCAAAAAACTAATCCAGGTTAATAGTATTTTAATGTGACATTTAAAAAAAAATCAATGCAAGAAAATCCGCAATGAACAAAATACCAAAATTTTAAATAAAGACAAGATCACTGTTATTGATTTTGTCTCAGGCTCCAATATACCTGGGCAAGACACTTGTTACTGATGCTGTTTGTAATGCCCCCAGGCATTAAAATATTTAGTTTGGCTAGTGTGTTTGGATTGTATTCCTCTTGTCAAAAGCTGGCTTTCCAAATATCACCAACACAACCTGTTGGTGGCACAAGCTGAGTTGATTGCTTCCTCAGGTAAGGGAAAACACTACTTGGCAAAGCTTTGGCAGTGTCTCAGAGAGAAGGTAAGGCCAGAATTTATTGAGAATTGGAAGTTTGGTTCAAGGCGGGTCTTTCAATTCAGTGTCTTGATTAAGGATTTGGTAAGAACCACTGTACAACAGTGGAAAATTGGTGGAAACGGCAAGGTGAGGGAACTCAAATAATCTCAGTGGGCAAACTGGCTGTTGTTCAAACCATTTGCCTGGGCTGAACGGTCAGAAAGAATACAAAGTGCTAATGAAAGCAAAGGACCACAAAGTCACATTGATGTAGGCAGTCAGGTGTGGTTTGGGTTCTCTGTGTCTAGGCTGAGTGTTGGGGTAGATGGTTTTGGTTTTCACTCTCTTCTTTCTGAATACATTCATCCATTCAAAAAATATTTAATAACATCCCAGACACTGTGTTGGGCACAAAGGATACACTGAGGAATAATGCAGAATCCCTGCCCTCGTGGAGCTGATAATCTAGTGGGAGACATAGACATGAAACAAGTAAACAAATAACACTATTGGAAATTCTATTATTTAGTAAACTGCAGTGAAGAAAGTGAGTCAAGGTGAGGAGATAGAGTGGCTGGGGATGGTGCAGGATGCCGTTTTAGGTAGGGTGGGCAGGGAAGGCCTCACTGAGGAGGAGGTAGATGATCGGGGACCTGAATAAGGAGAGAGAACCAGCCATGTGAAGGTCTGGGGAAGACTGTTCAAGTCTGAGGAAAAGCAAGCATGCAGGTCCCGAGGGTGAGGGTGAGCTAGAGGAGGGGTGATGGCAAGCAAGGGCAGAAAGGTAGGCCAGGTGCAGACCAAATGTGGCATGGGCCAACGTAAGTGAAACCGAGCACAAAGAAGTTAAAAAATCTTCCCTGGACTAGAAGAAGAGAATGAAAACTTTGAGATAAGCTTTGCTAACTGCAGCTGTGCATACTCAGTGTAAGCAACTGTTGTATAAAACTAATCAGGTCTTTCTGTCCCTCCTTAGTATTTGAGTGAGCTGTCTTTCCCAGAAAGTCAAGGTCCAGACATTAAGATTCAGCCTCACAAGGCCAAACGCAGGCTGAAGATGAAAACTAACCAAAAGAGTCCAGACAGTCAAGGGAAAAGAAATTCAGTCTTCAAGGCCAAACACAGGCTGGTGGAAAGGTGCCAACCAGCAAGGCTACATGCTCTCCCTCCCCTACCTAAAACCCCAGCACATGCTCCCCCTCCTCTACCTAAAACTTCAACACATGCTCTCCCTCCCCTCCCTAAAACCCCAAATAAAAACTCCCACCTTTTTCCCTTTGAGCAGGTGGATCTGAGTTCTAACTCACTCCCATCTCCTTGTCTGGCTGCCTTTGGATAGTAAACCTCTTTCCTTGCCACAAGCCTGGTGTTTCAGGTTTTTTCTTTATTGGCCCTACTATGCAGTAGGTAAACGAACCTGTGTTTGGGTTCGGTAACATAAGGACTTTCAGTTTTAATGGTTACGATAGGAAGCCTTTAATACATTTTCAATAGGTTTATGTGATCTGATTTATATTTTTAAATATTTTCTGATGGGAATTTTCAAACATGTGCAAAGTTAAAAGGAATAATACAATAAACCACATACTCTTCACCCAGGTTCAACAATTATCAACTATACCTCCACCCACTCCCCCAACACATTGATTTTAAGCAAATCCCCTATCATATCACCCAGAAGTACTTTCAGTATGCATCTTTAAACTATTTTTAACACAATCACAATACCATTATCACACTTGGGAATATTAACAAAAATTCCTATTGTCATCACAGATCCAATCAATATTCAAATTTCCCCAGTTGTTTCATAAAAAGTTGTCTACAGTTGGTTTGTTCAAGGTCCAAACAAAACCCACACATTGCAGTTGGTTGGTAGGAATCTTAAGTATCTCAATGTATAGGTTTCCACTATACATTGTTTTTTTCTTCAATTTATTTGTTGAAAAAGCTAGGTCACTGTTTGAGTTGAATTTCCCACAATCTGGATTTTACCATCCCTATGGTGTCTTTAACATGTTCCTTTGTTTCTAATTTTCTGTAAGTTGTTGGTTAGATCTAGAGGCTTTATGAGATTCAGGCTTGAGGTTTTGGCAAAAAATACTCCCCATGGCATATTTTCTATTTTAAAATATTGCTCTGGTTGTTATGAAGAGAGTGGACTGTGGAAGGAAAAGAGTGGAAACAAAGAGACCCGTTGTAAAGCTGATGAAGGCTTAGACCGGGGTGGTGACCACAGAGATAGAGTGAAGTGTGTAGATTCAATATGTATTTTGAGGTAGAACTGACAGAAATTTGTGATGGATTGGATGAGAGCATGAGAGAAAGGGGGACATCGAGGGTGACTCCTGGGCTTGAGCAGATGGAAGACAGTGGTGCTCTCAGGGACGGGGGTGGGGGTGGGGGTGGGGTTGATTAGAGGTGGTATTAAAGCCACAAGACTTGGTTCTGGTTAAAACATCATCCACCTGTGCCTGTTCCTATTTCCTCTCCCTCCCGAGGACCCATCTAAACAGGAACCACTACAACCTCTTGGCTGTTTTTTGGTTGTTGATTTATTTTGTTTTTTTTTTTTGCTTCTCTCTCATGCCAAAGATGATTAGGGGGCTGTCTCATTTCTGGCGACAGAAACAGCTCTACTCTCTGGTGCAGTGATGCAGAACATGTGCCCTTAGGGGAAGAGGACTGGGCCTTGGCCACTTGCTCTTTTTTTTATTTATTTATTTATTTATTTATTTATTTTTCCCCCAAAGCCCCAGTAGATAGTTGTATGTCATAGCTGCACATCCTTCTAGTTGCTGTATGTGGGACGTGGCCTCAGCATGGCCAGAGAAGCGGTGCGTCGGTGCGCGCCCTGGATCCGAACCCGGGCCGCCAGCAGCAGAGCGCGTGCACTTAACCGCTAAGCCATGGGGCCGGCCCTGGCCACTTGCTCTTGCGTTGCACCAGCCAAACTTGTTCTGGTCACACTGTCTTGAAATGACCATTGAACGTTGACTGATAGCACTGCCTGATGACCTCCTCGTTAGAGGGTACTGAAACCAACTGTGCAAAATTCTAGGTTACGTTAAACTTCTGGACTAAAGCTGATCATCTGGTTTCTGTAAGGATCTTACTTGGGATTATTTAATTACCATTTTCTTTGTTCATATCTCCACTTCCTTGTCCTATCAAGAAATAGTTGAAGGCTGTCACCTTCAGGTTTCCTTTGTCATTGAGTAATTATTCCTGAATAATTTTCTACAAGTGGCTCCTCATGTTATGGAGTGTTCTCTCTCTCTCACATACACACACACATACAAATGAACATATATGTACACACCAGCTCCTTACTTTTTTTCTTGATAGTATATCTTGCAGATCTTGCCATATGAGTGCATATAATGCCTCATTTTCTTGAAAAGCCTGTTGAGTGTCCATTGCATTGTTATTACATTTAACTTTTTTAACCAGTCTTCTCTTTTTCTTTTTTAAAATATTAACAAAACCCCATGACCTCAGTCTAACCGTGAGAAAAACATCAGACAAACCCAAATTGAAGGTCATTCTACAAAATACCTGGCCGGTATACTTCAAAACTGTCAAGGTCATCAAAAACAAGGAAAGAATGAGAAACTGTCACAGCCCAGAGGAGTCTAAGGAGACATGACAACTAAATGTAATGTGGTATCTTAGAGGGGACCCTGGAACAGAAAGGAGATGTTAGAGAAAAACTCATTAAATTGAAATAAAGTATGGAGTTGAGTTGAATTAGTAATAACTTCTAAATACGGTTCCTTAATTGTGACAAATGTATCATACTAATGTAAGATGTTAATTATAGGGAAAAAATGGACGTTCCTATGTATATAGGAACTCTCCACACCATCTTTGCAAAATTTTTTTTATAAATCTAAAACTATTCTAAAATAAACGTTATTCTAAAGAACATGAAGTCTCCCTTTATGTACAACTCTGAAAGAGTATCAAAACATATTGAGTGTGTGGGGCCAGCCTGGTGGCATAGCGGTTAAGTGCGTGTGCTCTTCTTCGGTGGCCCGAGGGTTCGAAGGTTCGGATCCTGGGCGCACACCGATGTACCGCTTGTCAAGCCACGCTGTGGTGGCGTCCCATATAAAGTAGAGGAAGATGGGCACGGACGTTAGCCCGGGGCTGGTCTTCCTCAGCAAAAAGAGGAGGATTAGCGTGGATATTAGCTCAGGGCTGATCTTCCTCACAAAAAAAATAAAAAATAAAACATATTGAGTGTAGGGTGGGCCAGTGGCATAGTGGTTAAGTTTGTGTGCTCTGTGTCAGTGGCCCAGTGTTTGCAGGTTCAGATCCTGGGTGCAGAGCTACCCACTGCTTATCAAGCCATGCATGGCAGGTGTCCCACATACAAAGTGGAGGAAGATGGGCACAGATGTTCGCCCAGGGCCAATCTTCCTCAGCAAAAAGAGGAGGATTGGCAACAGATATTAGCTCAGGGCTCATCTTCCTCACCAAAAAAAATATGTCTGTAGAGAGAGAGAGAGTGAAGAAAGTCAAGATGCAGAACAGTATGTATACTATAGCACAGAGGAAAAATAAATATATACTCACATTTGTTTTTATTTGCATAATGAAAGGATACATAAGAAATTTATGAAAATGGCTTCCTCTATAGGGCAGCGATTGGCAAACATCAGCAGGGGCCAATCCAGCTCATCACATGTTTCTGTAAACCAAGTTTGAAGGAACAGCCGTGCTCATTTGCTTGTGTACTGCCTGTGAGTGTTTTCCTACTGTGAGGGTGGAGTTCAGTGGCTGTGACGGAGGTTGTATGTTACTGTCTGCCCTTTTACAGACCCTGCTTTAGGGGCTTGGGGAGGAAATGGGTTGCATAGAGATTGGAGTGGGAACAATATTTTTTCACATAGATTTTTTTGCATATTGTTTTGTTTTCTAAAATATGTGAATGGGGCCGGCCCTGTGGCTTGGTGGTTAAGTGCGCACGCTGCGATGCTGGTGGTCCGGGGTTCGGATCCCGGGTGCACATCGAGGCACCACTTCTCCGTTCATCCTGAGGCCGAGTCCCGCATGCAGCAACTAGAAGGATGTGCAGCTACGACGTACAACTATCCACTGGGGCTTTGGGGGGAAAAAATAAAATAAATAAAATCTTAAAAAAAATAAATAAATAAATAAATAAATAAATAAAATATGTGAATGTATAACCTATCAAAAAAATTTTCTTTTAATTTTAAAACACCACCCACTGGAACTAGCCTTTCAGATGTTGCTGGTCTCTGGCATCTGCTAATCTCCGTCTCGTGGTCTGCTTGCTTTGTCAGGAAACTTCAAAAATCCTTCTCAACTATTTGGCTATAGGAACAATGGTGCTGCCCAAACCTGGGATCTATTACTTCCCCTGGGAGGTCAGTGCCGGCCAAGTTCCTGACGGGGGCACACTGAGAACATTCGGCAGGTGAGAATAGCTATTTTTTCACCTGGTAGGGGAATCTTGCAATGGCTTTCCCCCCTAAAAAAACAATTAAAATGGTTTTATTATAATTTTGTCTATTTTTAAAATGCTAAAAAGTCAATATGTATTCATTGTGAAAAATATAGACTGTCCATAAAGGTGTAAAGATAGCAAGTAAGGGGGCTGGCCTGGTGGCGTAGCAGTTAAATGCCAGCACTCCTCTGCAGAGGCCTGGGGTTCGCAGGTTCAGGTCCTAGGGGCACATCGACACACCGCTTATCAAGCCATGCTGTGGTGGCGTCCCGTATAAAGTAGAGAAGATGGGCACAGATGTTAGCCCAGGGCCAATCTTCCTCTCCAAGAAAGAGGAGGTGTGGCATTGGATGTTAGCTTAGGGCTGATCTTCCACACACACACAAAAAAAAGAGAGCAAGCAAAAATCACCTGTAATCCCACTGTCTGGACAACCACTGCTAACCTTTTGGTGATTACTTTACACACGTTTTCATGTGTGTGTGTATGTATATATGTATATGTGGGTGGGTGTATATACACACAATACATGTATGTACATGTATACTGCGTTAGTTGCATATTGCTGTGTAACAAATTACTCCCAAATTTAGTGGCTTAAAATGACAACAAATGCTTATTATTTCATAGTTACTGTGGGTCAGGAATTTGGGAATGGCTTAGTTGGGTGGTTCTGGCTCAGATTTACTTATAAGATTACAGTCAAGATGTTGGCCAGGGCTGCCAACATCTGAAGGCTGGCTTGGGCCTAGAGGATCTGCTCCCAAAGTGACTGGAGGAGCTCCCAAGGTGACTCATTCATATGTTTGGCAAGTTAATGCTGGCTGTTGTCAGGAAGACTCAGTTCCTCACAAGGTAGATTTTTCTTAAGGGCTACTTGAGGATCCTCATAACATGGCAGCTGGCTTTCCCTAGAATGAGTGATCTAATCTAACAGACAGAGGAAAGAAAAAGCCACAATGCCTTTTATGACCTAACCTCGGAAGTCCCTCTCAGTCATTTCTGCAATATCCTGAGGGTTACACAGGTTGACATTAATCAGGATGGTAGGGGACTACACAAAGTGGGGAATACCAGGAGATAAGAATCATTGGGGACCATCTTGGAGACATACATGTACGTACATGTAGAAATATTTTAACCTAGCTGAGATCATATTATATATGAGGTACTATATTGTACCATTTATTTATTTACTTTCTTAACTGTGTATCATAGACCTAGTTCCATGCCAGATATGTAGATCTATATTATCACTTTAAATAGCTCCATTTTATTTCATTGCATAGATATACCATTAACTTATTTAACCATAATCTATTTATTTAACCAAAATCTATTGATTTTTGACAAAGACATCAATGTAATTGAGTGGGGAAAGGACAGTCATTTCAACAAATGATGCTGGAACAAGTAGATATTCTTATGGAGGTGAAAAAACACCTTGATCCCTACCTCACAGCATACAAAAAAATAATCATTTGGACTGGGTCATAGATGTACAAGCTAATTATAAAATGTTTAGAAGAGAACAGGAGAAAATCTTTACAACCTTGAGATAGGCAAAGATTTCTTAGATAAGTCACAGAAAGCAAAAACCATAAAAGAAAAATAATGTATAAATTGGACCTCAACAAAATTAAAAGCTTCTGCTCATCAAAAGATACTATTAAGAAAACTAAAAGGCAAGCCACAAACTGGGAGAAAATATGTGATGTGTGTGTATAACAAATGATTTGTATCTAGAATATACAAAGAACTCATACGACTCAATGACAGGAAGACGAAAACTTAATTTTAAAATAGGCAAAGGATTTGAACAGACACTGCCAAAGAAGATATATGGATGGCAGGTAAACACATGAAAATTTGTTCAACATCATTATTCATTAGGGAAATTCAAATTAAAACCACAATGAGATACTCCTACACACCCACAAGAGTGGCTAAATTTAAAAAGACTGACAGGGGCTGGCCCCATAGCGTAGTGGTTAAGTGCACGTGCTCCACTGCTGGCGGCCCGGGTTCAGATCCTGGGCGCACACCGATGCACCACTTGTCAGGCCATGCTGTGGCGGCGTCCCATATAAAGTGGAGGAAGATAGGAACAGATGTTAGCCCAAGGCCAGTCTTCCTCAGCAAAAAGAGGAGGATTGGCATGGATGTTAGCTCAGGGCTCACATCCTTCCTCACACACACACAAAAATAATAAAAAGACTGACAATACTAAATGCTGATGAGGGTGTGGAACAACCGGAACTCTTATACCCTCCTGGTGGGAATGTAAAATGGCACAACTATTTTGGAAAACAGTTTGGCACTCGCTGAAAAAGCTAAACATATATCTACCATGTGATCCAGCAATTTTTTTTTTTTGGTGAGGAAGATTGGCCCCGAGCTAACATCTGTGCCAATCTTCCTCTATTTTATATGTGGGGTGCCACCATAACATGGCTTGATGAGCAGTGTATGGGATGAGTCCACGCCCGGGATCCAAACCCGTGAACCCCAGGCCGCTGAAGTGGAGCACAGAAAGTTAACCTCTATGCCACTGGGCCGGCCCCTGATCCAGCCATTCTATTCCTAGGTATTTCCCAAGAGAAATGAAAGCATATGTCTACACAAAGACTTGTCCATGAATATTCATAGCAGCTTTCTTTGTAATAGCCAGAAAATGGAAGCATCCCAAATGTCCATCTGGATGAATGAATAAACAAATTGTGGTGTATCCATACATGGAATACTACTCAGCAATAAAAAGGAATGAACTACTGCAACATGCAACAATGTGGATCAATCTCAAATATACTAAAGAAATCAGACCAAAATAAATTACATGCATGGTTCCATGTATATAAAAGTCTAGAAAATGCAATGTAATCTATAGTGTAAAAAGGCAGATCAGTGGGGTTGCATGGATGGGAGGGTAGGAGGATTACAAAACGACAAGAGGGAACTTTTCAGGGTGATGAAAAAATATATTCATTATCTTAATTGTGCTGATGGTTTCTCAAGTGTATACAATGTTAAATGTCAAGGAGTGTACCTTACATATGTGTAGTTTATTGTACTTCAATTATACCTCAATAAAACTGGAGGGGGGGCTGGCACTGTGGCTTAGCGGTTAAGTGCACACGCTCCACTACTGGCAGCCCGGGTTCGGATCCCGGGCGCGCACCAACGCACCGCTTGTCCGGCCACGCTGAGGTGGCGTCCCACATACAGCAAGTAGAAGGATGTGCAGCTATGACATACAACTGTCTACTGGGGCTTTGGGAGGAAAAGGGAAAAAAAGGAGGAGGATTGGCAATAGATGTTAGCTCAGGGCTGGTCTTCCTCAGCAAAAAGAGGAGGATTGGCATGGCTGTTAGCTCAGGGCTGATCTTCCTCACACAAAATAAATAAATAAATAATAAAACTGGCGGGAAAAAGCATATGTAGCAGATTGTTAAAAAGGGGAGAGGGCAAAAGACTTGAACGAACACTTCACAAAAGAAGGTGTACATAACAGTTAGCAATCATACAAAAAGTAAATAATAAAGCATATAACAATTTTTAAAGATATATACAAATGGCCAATAAGCACGTGAAAAGATGCTTAACATCATTAGTCACCAGGGAAATGCAAATTAAACCCACGATGATATGGTATTTCATGCCCCTAGAGTGGCTAAAATTCAAAAGACTGACCATACCAAGTGCTGTGAGGATGTGGGGCAACTAGAGCCCTCATACGTTGCTAATGGGAGTATAAAATGGCACAGCCACTTTGAAAAATAATTTGGTAATTTCCTTTAGAGTTAAACAGACAGGTTGACCATATAACTCAGCAATCCCACCTGGGTATTTACTCAAGAGAAGTAAAAACATATATCAACACAAAGACTTGTATGCAAAGTTCATACCAGCTTATTCATGATAGCCAACTGGAAGCAAACCAAATCAACTGGTGAATGGATAAATAATTTGTTTATTACTACTGCACTACTGAGCAATAACAAGGCACAAACTACTGATTTACCCAGCACCATAAAGGAATCTCAAAACTATTAGGCTGAGTGAAAGAAGCTAGACACGAAAGAATGCATGCTGTTATGATTTCATTTATATGAGGTGCTTGAGTAGGAAAACTCATCTGTAGAGACTAAAAGCAGATCAGTGCTTGCCTGTGGTGGGAGGATGAGGAGATAGACCTCAGAGAGGCACAAGGGAACTTTTTGGGGTGATAGAAATGTACTAAGTCTTGGCCGGAGTGGTGGTTACACAAGTGTATACTTTTGTCAATCCTCATCAAACAGGTGCCTTTTAATGCATGCAATTTATACCTCAACATGTAGACTGAAAAAAAATTGTCTAATTTATTGCTGCCATTTTTATTTCTCTGATCAGAGTAAGGCTGAACATTTTCCCTTGGATTTATTGGCCTCCCAAAACCTTTTGAGTTTTGTGGTGGTTCTGTCCATGGATAGAAATGATCGCACTTCCCCTGACCTCCAGGTTGTGCCTCTACGACATGACCCAGTCCCGAGTGACCCTGATGGCTCAGCAGGGATCTGACCAGCACCAGATCCTCATCTGTACCAAGCTGGTGGAGCCGTTCCAAGCCCAGGTGGGCTCCCTGTACACTGTCCTTGGGGAGCTGGAGCACCAGAAGGGTAAGTCATGACCTCACACACCGTTTTCCACTCTGGGTCCTGAGTTCGTCATCTTTTGGGTGACTCAGTTAGGACTGGGCGTGGCTTGTGACCCAACTAGGAGTCCCTCATTGAGGTTAACCCTCCTTCGAAATCAGCCCACAAGTTCAAGAACTCGTGGGAAACAGACGTGATTGGGCTCAGAGTGGACCTGCCATGGGGAAGCGAGAAAGAGAGGAGAGAGACCATTAAATTCTGAAGACCTGCAACCTGCCAGGCCTGGTACCAGGTGGTTTGCTTAAATCTTTTTGAACCTGCCCACCAGCCCTTAATCTGTCTTATTATTGCTGTTTTATAGATGAGAAAACCCAGGCTCAGAGAGGATGGGGCTGGAATAAGAGCCCAGGAAGTCAGGGTTAAGAGAACTAGAGCACAAGGGAAGAAATAAAAGCAACTTGACATCGAGAGCTGAAGGTTGCTCTTTAAAACCTGGGCCACTTTCTTTTACACGGTTGATTTCATACCATATAATGTTGTATCTGGTTGTTTTGGCTTAACATTATATCATAGGCATTTCCTCATGTCTTTAAATTTTTTCTAGATATAGTGTTTAATGGCTATTTAACATTTTACAGATTGGATGTGTATCCTAATTCACATGGCCATTGGACATTTATGTTGTTTCCATTTTTTGCTTTTATTAACACACCATACATTTACTGGTTAAAGAAACTAGAGTATATTCAGTCTATTAATAGAATATTATGCAGCCATTAAAAATGGTGTTATAAATTTATATCAATGGACATTGAAAATGTGTTCACAATATCTTACTAAGAAAAAGCAGTTTACAAAACAATATGTATCGTATGACCTCATTTTTGTTTAATGTACATTTTTTATATACATAAAAGTTTGAAAGATTATTTACCAAAATGTTAATAGTAGTTATTTCTAGATGGTGGGACTGTGGGATTCCTTTTACTTTTATTAGCATTTTATAATGAAAATGTATTGCTTTTATAGCCAGAAGGGAAAAAAGGTTAAAAAAAAAATCTATCTATCTATTAAAAATGCTGCTTAATATCCTTGTGTGCTAATCTTTGTCCATTTTCTGATTCTTTCTTTTTTTTTTTTTTTAAGATTTTATTTATTCATTTTTTTCCCCCCAAAGCCCCAGTAGATAGTTGTATGTCATAGGTTCACATCCTTCTAGTTGCTGTACGTGGGACTAGGCCTCGGGTTGGACGGAGAAGTGGTGCCTTGGGGCGTGCCTGGGATCCGAACCTGGGCCGCCAGCATCAGAGCGCGCGCACTTAACCGCTAAGCCACGGAGCCGGCCCCCTGATTATTTCTTTAGGGTAGTTTCCTAAGAATAGAATTGCTCCCTTAAGGGATACGAACATTCATGTTTCTTGATTTACACAACCAACTTACTTTCCAAAAGTCACAGTGGTTTTTAACTTTGGATGAAATGCACTAGAAAAAAAATGTAATTAAATGGTGCTCACTTTAATTATATTTGATTTAATATGAAAGTTAATATTTATTCAGGGTTAAGCCTTTGAGCTCACAGAGTTCCTGCCTTCATAATCAATTTGAGAGAGGTATCAGGAGGAGGAGTGAAAAGGGGGACAAAGAGCCTTTGCATAAATGATTTCCACCTTGACTAGAGCCCAAGTCACCTGAGGCTTTCTCCTGCCCTCCTGGGCCCTGCGGTTAGTCCTGGGAGCTCTCAGGAACCCACTGCCCAATGTCTGGAACTCTAAGTCTCGATTGCAAATACAGAGAGGGGTTGAAAGTAAGGTGGGACAGCAGGCCAGGACGAGAGCAGGACCTGGAGTGGACATTTAAAATTACATGTGGAAAGAAATTGGAAAAAACTTGAAAGTATAAATTCAACCCATATAATTTTTTAATTTAATGTTTTCAAATCAAACATGCACAAAAGTAGAATGGTAGACTTAGCCTCTGTGTATCCATCACCCAGATTCTGCGGTGGCCCACATTCCACTGTTCTGTGTCACCACCGCCCGTGTTTATTTATTGTGCTGGTGTATTTTAGAGCAAATCTGACATCATTTCATTACCACAATCTAACATTACCACAATTACGCTCAACAAAATTAATAGCTTTGCCTTAATGTAATCTAATACTTTATCTCATTTTCAATCCCCCCACACACCCCCAAAAATGGCTTTTTACCATTTGTTAGTTCAAATCAGGATCAAAACAAAGTCCATACATTGGGTTTGGGTTACATATCCCGAGTCTCGGTAACAGTTGTCTTCCTTTTTTCTTTTTTTTCTTAATGCCATTTATTGGAGGACTTGGGTCTGGAATGGATTGATTGCTTCCTCCTGGTTGCGTTAAACCTCCTCTTGCCCTTGAATCTATCCTGTCTTTTTCTGAATGGATTATATTTCAGGGAAACCATGTGTTTGATGAGGGAAGGTTCTTTAGAGATGACCCACAGTGAATAAATGCAGGAGAAATGATTAAATTCAAAAGTCACCTCTTTACAAGCCCTGATGAAATCGTAAATCCAGGCAGCGATCATTATCACTGGCTGCTAAAATCATTAGGTGGAAGGTCGACGGAAACGTTGTGGTGCAGGGATCATGACCCCAAGAACACCTGGGCCCACCTGAGCAAACCACACATTACCATATGCAGAACAATCCGGCACATGCCTCCGCTGGGACGCACTGGGAAGGCACCACTCTGATGCCTTCCCCCCCCCAAAAAAAAGAAAAAAATAGAAAACCTGATCAAGTCTCAGATCAAGCAGCGTTCTTCGTAGGCTCTGGCTGGTTTACCACTTCTTGTTACCACACATATTATTTTCTTCACAATTTGTATTTTTTTTTCTTTCTTAAAAAATTTTTTTCCCTCAGTTTCCAATTTCTAAGTAATATGTGCTTATCAATTGCAGCTGACACAGGAAAGACGACGACGACGAGGAGGGAGGGGCAGAGTGTGGGCTGAGCCTGGAAGTGGCCACTGCCCTTTAGCCTGGGCACAGCATGGCTGCTTTCACACCTCCCTCTCTGCATGTCTGGCCGGGTCCTAAGTCCTGGGGACACAAAGGTCAACCAGACAGGGGCCCTGCGCTGTGGCAAGGTTGGCAGTTATGAGGACAGACAAGAGGCCACCTAAAGACACCTTGGTAAAATTTTGGCACATAGAGCTAGCTGAGGAGGCCAAAACGGTGAAAAAATGCCAGCTGTGTGCAGAAACTCGCTGGCTCTGACACCTTTGGGCATCATCCTAGGGCCCGAGGGTGTCCTCTCCAGGACCTAAGGTGTTGGAGCCCAGCCTTTCCCCAGCTCTGCTCCAGGTCCCTAATAGAACTCCCAGGCTGAAGGTTACTACCTGCAGTGGGAGGCTGCTCCAGAGCTCTCACCATAAATCCCACCCTGGTGCCCTCCTAAGCCTGCCTGTTGTGTCCTCTGGAATCTTTGCTTCTCCATCTTCAAGCCTCTTTATTATGCTCTTGCCTTCTCTGGGACTTGCCTGAAACACGGCTTTTTCAGAGGAGAGCAGTTCCCCTGCCACCCTCCCAATGTGGGGCCGGAATCCTGCTGGCTCTTCAGGTTTGTCAGTGGACACCTTTCTCCTCCTCTGCGGCAGGCCAGTTCTGCCACCACGCGCTGCTGCCCCACTTCTGCCTCCCACACCCATCGCCACAGAACTGCCCCACCTCTGCTCCCTGAAACTGCAGCAGTTCCACCCTCGGCATCCTTCCGCTCTCTCCTTCTTCATCCCCATCAAGACCCACGGACTCTGGACTCCTCTATTTTCTCCCACCTTCTCTCTCCCATTTGTTTTCCTTCCCACCAACCGGACCTCACTATCATTTCAACCACTTTCCTGGCAGAAGTTTCAATCTCTTGCCTTCCATCATTCCTGCCTGATGAAACCTGTCGATGCAAAATAACCGATGACCATTCTATAGATAAAAGAAATAAGGTGAGTTTACTTGAGCCAGAGTGAGGATTATAATGCAGGAAGGCCTTAGAAAGTGTTCCAGAGAAGCATGGTTTCCAGTCCAGTCTTATATCTTTTTAGAACAAAGAACACACATTAAACACAGCCAGGATACATTTTCATCAAAATTTCAAAAGGTATTCAGCTGCAAATTAGCAGGTCAACATGACCCTCCCCACCCGTGATGTTAACAATAGGGTGTTACCAATAGGGCATGGGGGGACCTATGCATTCTTATCTTAAGAGAGTGCATTCTTTAATGGTTAAGCAGGGTACAATGTATGTTTGATAGGCCATAAGTCAGGCTTTTTAGTTCAAGCCGAATCAGTTTTGAACCCGAATAGTTACCCCATATACCTCGATATGTGAGAATCTCTTGTCAAACCCCAACCTCCACCGTCACAGGTCCCACTATTGATGGAGAAAGTTCACAAAGCTCCTTGGATTCCTAGCACAGTGATTTCAAGTTCTCTTCTCTCACTGGGGCCCTCCGTGCTGCCTAGAAATCCTTCCACGTGTCCCGGTCAGCCCCTCTCCCAGCACCCACAACAGCTATTTCAGGCATTCATCTATCACACAAGATCCCCTACTTCATCACCTCCCCTGTCCCTTTCAGCAAAACCTCACCTCCTACATCCCAGGTAAAGTTGAGGCCACAGCAGTGGTCCTTCCTCCTGAAATTATATGCAGCCACACCCATCAGTAGCTGCTTTCCTCCAGTCTGCAGGGAGGAGAAAGGTCCCTCCTGCCTGGGGCATAGCCCCAGTGCTGTGATCCACGGCTTGTACTGCCACAGGACTTTCCTCTCTCCACTGAATCCTTACCACTGGTTCTTCTCTCTCAGCATATAAAGCACTCAAGCCTCTTCGATATTAAAATAATAATAACAATAATAATGTCATCTTCTGCTCTATATCCCTACCTAGCTGTGCCCCTCCTCCCTTCACAAACTGCCTAAAAGAAGATGTTTTCTCCATTTTACCCCTTGTTACCTCCTACTCACACCTCGACCCACTGTGTTCTGACTGCTCTTTGTAACTCAGTCCCTTCTTTTCTCTAGGCTCTTTGTAACTTTGCAAGAAGCAATTCCCCTAAACGACTGTTTCCCTAGCTGTCTTGTTCATAAACCGTTCCCCCTCCCCTGCAGCACTTCTTCAAACAGTGTTCTTTTCATTCCGTTTACACAGACATTTCGCAGATGGACTAACAGAATTGCCCAGTTTGTCCCTGTGATTATTTCTAAAGCCCACTTCCATATTTAATAACTTTTTTCATTCACAGGGAGAAACAACATGTTCCACTATATAAATCTGGAAGGGAGAGTTTTCCCAGCCTGTGGGGAGGAAAGAGCTGATAGGCATTAATGCAAAGAAAGTTCTGTGAAATTAAGTCAAATAACTAAGAAAATATTCATACAGGAAGAAGTTTGGAAACATTTGGCATAGGATCCTATTTCGAGATGTTTAACTGTGAGTTAAGAGAGCTCTGATTTTGTCCTTGCTTCCCCCGTGTCGTCCTGAACACGTGCAGCTGCTCTGTGAAAACTCTTTTTTTTTTTCTTTTTTTGTGAGGAAGATCAGCCCTGAGCTAACATCTGATGCCAATCCTCCTCTTTTGCTGAGGAAGACTGGCCCTGGGCTAACATCCGTGCCCATCTTCCTCTACTTCATATGGGATGCCACCACAGCATGGCTTGCCAAGTGGTGCATCAGTGCGTGCCCGGGATCTGAACCCGTGAACCCCCGGCCACTGAAACAGAGTGTGAGCACTTAACCGCTGCGCCACCAGGCTGGCCCCATGCTCTGTGAAAACTCTTTACGGCTACGTGTGCCAGCAGAAAAGGTCTAAGCCTCTCACTGCCAAGTGAAGTTTAGTCAAATGTCCTTTTTGATTGATCAGTATGGACAACCCAGCTATTCCAGAAGAGTCCTGAGTGATGAGAATCAACAGTCTACACTGGTCGGCAGATCCAGATATTATCACAGTCCATTCCACTGTAGCCTGTGCAGTCTCTGCGGCCCAGCACTGGGGCTGGCAGAAGCAGATGACACACAGGCAACCTCATATCTCAAACAAGTTCATCTTCCCACATTGAAGGCTGGAATCTAGACAATCTGACACTCTGAATTCCACCCCCAGGCTGTGTTGAATCAATAAAATGGCCTAGACTAGAAGGAAGGCTAGGCGCGGACTTTACCTAACCAGAGAGCCCCTATCTTAAAACGGCATCAAAAGAAGACAGGATAATGTCCTAGAACATTGATTGTCTTCATCGATGTGCCCAGAGAGCACAGAGAAAATGAGTGAAAAAATAAAAAATGATTAGGGCAAACCCCAGAGATGTCTTTCCTGTTTGATGTCACCTGAACGTTGACAAACCTTTCCATAACGCATCAGGGCACCACAGCATCTGCCAGAAGTCCCCCCAGCCCCTCGTGCAGGGTGGGATGACTTCCTTCTATAAGGCCATACTCTCCCCTTGGATGTATTAAATATGGGGTTCTCGGGGCCGGCCCCATGCCGTAGTGGTTAAGTGCGCGTGCTCCGCTGCTGGCGGCCCGGGTTCAGATCCCGGGCGTGCACCAATGCACAGCTTGTCAGGCCATGCTGTGGCGGCATCCCACGTAAAGTGGAGAAAGATAGGCACAGATGTTAGCCCAGGGCCAGTCTTCCTCAGCAAAAAGAGAAGGATTGGCCTGGATGTTAGCTCAGGGCTGATCTTCCTCACACACACACACAAAAATATATGGGGTTCTCCTTGCCACAATTTCCAATGCCAGTGGGTCCCAGGATTCCAAAGGTGCTCTTCCCTTGACACAAATGGAGACCTAGGATGGTGATTGAGACCCCTCCTCAACCCCGGGGAATTGGGACCTACAGAGAAGGTGGCAGGAATTAAGATGACAAAAGAGGGAAGCAGAGGGTGCCTCTTTCTGGCCCTTCCTCCATGGAGAAGTGGAATTTTCGGGCTACCCCCTAAGTTGCAGACATGTGCCTGTAGTGCATGACAGGCCCACAGTTCTGAGGCCCAAGGGGACAAATTGCCAACATCCTAGATGCCATCCTTGTCTGCACCCTGTCAAGCATCCTGTTAAAACTCAGGACTGAGAACAAGTCGAGGAGAAACAGCTGGAATGCATCTGTAGAGTTTGTTGCTGACACTCGGTCAATCACTGCTAGGGCCTTGCTGTTTGTGTCTTTCAGACGGAGGTTTCGTGGTGAAGGCCCGGGTGCTGACTTGTGTGGAAGGAATGAATCTACCCTTGTTAGAACAAGCCATCCAGGAGCAGAGGATGTACCAGCGAGAGAGGGACAGCAGCCAGTAGGAAATGGCAACTCCTGGCAACCCCCGCATCCAACCTGCTCCTGGGGCCAAGCCAACTGGAGATGCCAGAGCTGCTGCAGAGAGGACGCAGGAGCTTCCCTGGAGTGACAGCCTTTTTTGGAGCCAGAGGGAAGAGGAGGGGTTATTAATTTGGGATTGTCCCAGAAATGAAAGCCCAGAGAGCAAGTGCCAAAGTCTGATTCCCTCCCCCCACCAGGAGACCACAGGAGGCCAGGCTCTGGGGCACTGGAGGCTGTGCCTCGTGTGGGGTCATGGAGGGTTCCAGAAAGTCCTCGTGAATAAAGGCCCCAGCAACGAGACCTTGCTATGTGTGCACGTGGTGCAGCGCCGGCAGGGGCCAGGAGGGGGAGCTGCGGAGCAGGCAGTCTGTGGGGCAGAAAGGCTGCAGGAGCGCAGGGTTTCTGGTGAATTGTGGGCTGAGGGCCTGAGGGGGGGCTGCTGGGGGCACCCAGGTCTGGGTGGGAGGCCCAGGACGCAGAGAGGCTTCCGCTGCCCAGGTTCTGCCCTCAGAGGAGGCTGAGCGTCCACAAACAGGCCGGGCCTAGCTCCTGGCCCTGGCTGTGTGGCCTAGGGCAGGACTACGGCTTCAGAACCCTTCCTGACCCCTGACCTCTGCCTCAAGCTGACCCTGGCCTCTCAGGCAGCCCTTCTGGGCAGGCTTCTGCCCCCAGAGCCCGGGCCTGGCTGGGCAGGGGCGGGGGGCTCCGGCCTGAGAAGTTTGGGCCCTCTTGCGTGCCGTAGCCGGGCACCTTCCTGGCCGGGCAGGGAAGGAGGCCTGGGGCTCCAGCCTGGGCTGGGCTGGGCTGGGCTGGGCTGGGTGAGGGGCAGTCCTGCTCCAAGCCAGGTTCCCAGGGATGTGCTGGGGTGGGGGATGGAGTGGGGCCTGGGCCGGGGCGGCCTGGCAGGCAGAGCAGGGTGAGCCCTGTGGGCCTCAGGCCTCAGGAGCCAGGAGGCCTGAGCGCAGGCTGGGTAGGTGATCCATGGAGGCTGGAGGAGGCCCCAGGGGCACTGGACATGGGGGACGAATGCCCCAGGTGCCGTCTGTTTCCCCGGGCAGCTCTGCGGACATGGATGTGTTCCAGAAGGTAGAGAAGATCGGAGAGGGCACCTATGGGGTGGTGTATAAGGCCAAGAACAAGGAGACAGGGCAGCTTGTGGCCCTCAAGAAGATCAGGCTGGATTTGTGAGTGCTGGGATGGCCTCTGAGATCCCCACCCAGGGGTGCCCCACAGCCCGGGAGATCCCCCATCCATCCCTAGTCTCAGGGTTTTACATTCAACTCCTTGTCCGAGTGCTGCCCAGTTACACTGGGGCGGCTGCAAAGGTGCAGCCATCACTCATCCTCACCCTGACCGGCCTTTGTCCCAGGCCCCTGGTGGTGATAAGTGTGTGTCCAGGAGCACAGGTGACTCCCCCGGCAGAAGTGCACTTCTTGGCTCCTGCCTCCACTGCTGTGCCCTCCTTTCCTGCAGGGAGACCGAGGGGGTCCCAAGCACCGCCATCAGGGAAATCTCCCTGCTCAAAGAGCTCAAGCACCCCAACATTGTCAGGTGAGGTGGGGAAGAGGCGGGGAAGCTGGGCCTGTCCCAGTTCACCTGGGAGCCGCATCCTGACTGGGGTCCCCCGGCCAGGCTGCTGGACGTGGTACACAGCGAGAAGAAGCTTTACCTGGTGTTTGAGTTCCTCAGCCAGGACCTGAAGAAGTACATGGACTCCACCCCTGCCTCCGAGCTCCCCATGCACTTAGTGAAGGTACCCAGGGAAGGACGGGGAAGACCAGCTAACGCCCCGCCCAGCCGGCTCCGCGTCCGCTCAGCCAGCGCCCTCTCATCCTTGCTGTTCCAGAGCTACCTCTTCCAGCTGCTGCAGGGGGTGAATTTCTGCCACTCTCATCGGGTCATCCACCGAGACCTGAAGCCCCAGAATCTACTCATCAATGAGTTGGGTGCCATCAAGCTGGCTGACTTTGGACTGGCTCGAGCCTTCGGGGTGCCCCTACGCACCTACACCCACGAGGTACCACAGGACAAAGGGGAGAGAAGGCAGCCAAAGGGATGTCACCTGTGTACTCAGCCACCCCGAATGATGCTGTTTTCTTGCCCCTACAGGTGGTGACACTCTGGTATCGCGCCCCCGAGATCCTCTTGGGCAGCAAGTTCTACTCAACAGCTGTGGATGTCTGGAGCATTGGTTGCATCTTTGCAGAGATGGTAGAGAGAGGGACAAACATGGCTGCCAGGAGGCCACAGGCAGGGTCCTACTGGGGTGGGGGTGGGACCCTGATTCTCCTATTGGAGGTAGATTAAGAGGTATTTGGGACTGGCTTAAGGAGTGAGGAAGCGGCCCTTATTCCCGCAAAGGCCAGGTTCTTAGTGCAGCCCTGGGAAAGATATCTTGAAGGTGCCTCCCTTGTCTGGCCTCTTACCTGGTAATGGATTCTGTATGACAAGGGAGTAGACCCCACACTTTCTCCTCTTCCCCTTTCCAGGTGACCCGCAGAGCCCTGTTTCCTGGTGACTCTGAGATTGACCAGCTCTTTCGTATCTTTCGGACCCTGGGGACACCCAGTGAAGCCACGTGGCCAGGAGTCACCCAGCTGCCTGACTATAAGGGCAGCTTCCCCAAGTGGACCAGGAAGGGGCTGGAGGAGATTGTGCCCAGTCTGGAGCCGGAGGGCCAGGACCTACTCATGGTAGGTAAAGGTATAAGGCGGGGGAGTGCAAGAAAGGCCTCCTGTCTCCAGTCACTCCTCCCACCAGAAGTGTCCCCTTTGTCAGCCAGCCTCTTATGGAACCCTGGCTCCTTCTTAGTCCAAGCTGGTCTCTTTTCTGACCCTTGTACACAACTTGCATAATGATTCTTCAAGCTGGACACCTGTCCCGTGATAAGTCCAATGTTCATCTTCCCTTTTAAAACTTCTCTCTTCTAGTTATCTTTGTTTTTATGCTGTGATACTTGCCTTTTTCTTAGTTGCCTAGTGTTCTTGGTAATTTTCCTATGTGGAACTTATTACCCCATCTAAGCTGTAAGCTTTCCCAGGCAGGGACCATACCCCCTCCTGCCTCAGTGTTCCCCACAGCGGTCACTCCTCACACGAGGCTGTTCATAACAGGCCGTTCCCTGCTGCCTGGGCCCCTGCCACAGTCCTCACTCACCCTCCTGTTGCATCATCTTGACCCCTTGGGCTGGCCCAAGCCTAACCACCCAGAGCCATCCATTCTTGCCCACAAAGACTCAGAGCCACATTTCTCTCTTTAATCTGGTGTTGGATCAGAGGAAGGCAGGGCAGTATTTTCACCTTCGGGCTGTGTGTCCAGCTTTCGGGAAGTCTGTGTGTGTCTACCAACCCAATGACAGCAGGACGGCATAGACTTCCAACCAAGACTCTTAGCACTCCATCCTGGCTACTCCAAGGCAGTGGGTCCTACCACTTCCTGCCTGGTTTAGGGACTTGGAGTTCCTGCCCCCCCCAAGTATGCTCCCTGGACAGGTTTGGCCCCCACTTCCTGATACATAGAGAGAAGTCTGTCTCAACCAGAAGTGGAGCCTGGAAACCTCAGTACGGAAGGGGAGAGACTGACTCAGCCTCAGTAGCCTGAAGGAGACCGGAGGTGACTCAACAGGGCTGGACTAGAACTAATTCTCTTTTTGTGTGTGTGTGTGTGTGAGGAAGATCAGCCCTGAGCTAACATCCGTGCTAATCCTCCTCTTTTTGCTGAGGAAGACCGGCTCTGAGCTAACATCTATTGCCAATCCTCCTCCCTTTTTTTCCCCAAAGCCCCAGTAGATAGTTGTATGTCATAGTTGCACATCCTTCTAGTTGCTGTATGTGGGATGTGGTCTCAGCATGGCCAGAGAAGCAGTGCGTCGGTGCGCGCCCAGGATCCGAACCCGGGCCGCCAGTAGCAGAGCGCGCGCACTGAACCACTAAGCCACGGGGCTGGCCCTAGAACTAATTCTTTGTCCCCAGATTCCAGGAGTGTCCAGAACTGGCTTGTGAGCTGGGAGGTGGTGGCTTCATGCAGTTCTGGGTTTGAAGGCAGCACTTTGGGGCTTGGGGCCCTCCAGCTGTGAGGGTAATTCCCATCCAGCCCTGGCCACACCTAGGTCCAATCTCTTTCCTCCTCCTCCTTCCTTCACAGCAACTCCTGCAGTACGACCCCAGCCGGCGGATCTCAGCCAAGGCCGCCCTCGCCCATCCGTACTTCTCGTCCACGGAGACTTCCCCAGACCCCCGCCAGTGTGTCCTGGAGCGTTTCTGCCGTTGAGAACACTCAAGGCCCCCGCCTGAAAGCCTCTCTCCAGCTGCTGCCCCAGCTGCCTCCCCACCCACTTCCCAAGAAAGAACATATCTGGGGAGAGAGCAAAACTCTAAGGAATTTGGCATTAGCCGTCAGAGGGCTGAGTTTGGGTTAGTCCTGCCAGCAGGTTAGCGAGTTCCTGTGTTGTTTATTGGGTTAGACGGTGACGTTTCAAGATGGGGGCACAGAAGCTCTGTGCACAAGGGGGTATGTTAGAGACTGGGCCCCCTGGCACTGGAACAACAGGTACCAAGGAGAGCAGGAAGCCTGTCCTGGCTGCCTCCTGGTGCTCCTCACCTCCCGGGCTCTCAGCTGCCCGGCCAGACCCTGAGGGAAAGGGTGCCCCCTGCTGGTCTTTTTGGATTTAAAATGTTTGGGGGAAGAGTTGCGTTAAGAGTCCCAAGTTAAACAGGGAGCAAGGGGAGGGAGAGACAGGATATTTTCCTGATCCCAGGGGAGGTCGAGATGTGTGTGGCTGTTCTAAGTAGTTGTCTCATCACCTAGGATTTGCTCACATTTGTTTGCCTCTGGCTTTAAGAGCAGGAAATAAAAATGACACATTCCTGAGTTTTCCAGTGTTTTTCTGCTCAGGGGTGACACCAGGGACTTGCCAACAAGGGGGAGGTAGACAGAGGACTGGAGACAGTTCTTGGTGCACCCTGAAGGACCCGGTGCAGAGATGGCAGGGAAGAAGGGGCCAATCCATGATCGCCTTCCATGACCTGCCAGTGTATCCCCGCCCCCGCCCCCAAGTCAAAGGAGCCGTAGCCCTCTGAAAGCACCCTGTTTCCTAGGCAGGGCCAGTTGGTCATGTCCACTCCCCACCTGGGAAGGACCCAAGCAGTGCTGTCCCTTGTGCTTATGCCCCAGACAAATCGATTCTGCGTTCCCAAATCTGAAGGAGACACCAGGAGAATTAGTTTATTGGAAGCACTGGGGTGGGAGAGAGAACAGATCTGCTGATCTCTGGTTCTGGACCACCACAGGTAGGGGAGCGAGCCCAACACCGCGAATGTTCGAGTAATAGAAAAGCCATCAGACAGAGGGAAGACCCACCCCCTTGGATTAGGCTGCTCCTGGGCGAGCGGGGCATGCATCCCACCCTCCCCCTCACACGCACTCCCCGTGACTGCTTGGCCCCCATCAGCGGAGGGTGCGCGGTGCGGTGGGGGAGGCTGAGCGGTAGCAGCGGTACCCCTCCAGCGCAGCTGGGAGGAGCAGCAGGCCGCTCAGGGGGTCTTTCCGGCAGCGCCCCATGGCTTCCTTGTAGCTTAGCCGCTCCTTGGAGATGGGGTCTGTCAAATCCTTCTCGTAGCTGGACTCGTCCTGCAGGAGCTGGGCCAGCTCTTCGCTGATCATTCCAGAGAGCACAGCCTGCAGGACGGGAATGCGGCCTGTCCTCTTGGGGTCGATGAGTCCCCCGGTCAGGTGCTGCACCTGCAGGTGCGGAAGCACGCTCTCTCGGGGCATCCAGCCTTTCTGGACGGCCTCGCCCACTGACAGCCTCTTCTTGCTGATGGGGTCCTCGATGCCAGTGAAGGCCTTCTGGGCGTTGAGCAGCCTCTGTGTGGAGGTGTTCTCGATCAGCCCCCTCTCTAAGGCCTTGTGCACAGAGTAGCGCTCCCGGCTGAGGAGGTCCATGATGCCCCCCGTGGCCGCCTGGGCCTCCAGCAGCTTCTGCCCGGTGATGGGATCTAGCATGTTTTTGGCCATGGCTGTCTTGATGGTGCATTTGTTGTCTGTGGTTGTGTCGTAGACCCCGGCAATGGGGAAGCTGTCATCACCAAGCCCAAGAGAGAAGCCGGAGGAGAAGAAACTTGTGCTCTGGGGGGCTGGGGAGGCAAGTGGGGACTTGGAGATGATGGATCCAATGGAGAGGGAGGAGCAGGGCTTGGTCTCCCCCGCCACGAGCAAGGCGAACTCGGAGATGGGAAGGCGGCCGTCCTTGTAGAGATGGTACTCCTCCTTGGAGATGCGTCTGCAGCGCAGGGCAGCCTCGATGGAGTACTGCTTCCCGCTCTTGCGGTCCAGGAGCAGAGACTCCTCCCCACAGGGGCCTGAGGTGGTGACCTCCTCCCAGTCGCACTCGAGCTCCTGCAGCTGGAGGTACTGGCCTCGATCGATGATGCCCCTCTTGTAGGCCTCATACGGGGACATGTCGTTCCCCGTCTCAGGTTCCAAGATGGAGATCTTGGTGAAAAGGTTGGTCTCTCGCATCTGAGTCTCCTGGTTGAGCTCCTCCCGGCTCACCTTGGTGTGGAGGTCCCGGAGGGCCCTCTCCTTCTTGTAGATCTGGTCCTTCTCGCGGAGGATGGCCGCCTCAAGCTGCGAGAGCTCCTGGCTCCGCTGGGCCGCCTTCCGCCGCTCACTCTCCGTCTTCTGGCTGAGCAGCTTTGACTCCTCCTGCAGGTGGAGCACCTTCTGCTGCTTCTGCCTCTCCAGCTCGTGCAGCTCCTGCTGCAGCTGCCTGCACTCCTGGCTCGCCTGGTCCCGGGCCTTCTGGAGCTCGGCCTCCTCCCGGGACCAGGTCCTCCCCAGTACCTCGGCCTTATCGATCCGCTCCCCGAGGCGCCGCACCTCCTCCTCCCGGTTCTGCCGGGCTGCGCGCTCCCTGTTGAGCATCTCCCACACCCGGGACCGCTCACCCTCCAGCACCCGGTCCTTCTCCACCCTGATCACTTCCTTGTAGATGGTCTTCTCTTGTGATTTGGTTTTCTGGAGGACATCGATCTGGACCTGCAGGTTCTTGCACTCCCGATGCAACTCCATCACCTGGGTCTTCTCCTGGTCCAGGTCTCGCCGCAGGGCCTCTGTGGACTTCTCCAGGTCCGGGTCCTTCTCCAGCTTGACCACCTCCTCCATGATGATCTTCTCCTGCACTGCAGGGGGCCGCTTCTCCAGCTCCTGGATCCTCAAGGTCAGCTGCCGCAGCTCCTTCTCCACAGCCAGCTTCTTGTTGCGGTCCTCCTGGAAGCTGAGCAGGCCCTCCTTCTCCTCCACAGCGGCCCGCAGCTGCTGCAGCTCCCTCTCCAGCTGCCGCCGCCGGCCCACCTCCTCGTCTAGGCTCTGGCTCAGCCGGCTGTGGTCCTTGCGGAGCTTTGGGTCCTTCTGGGTGACCACCACCTCCTGCACCACCACCCTCTCCTTGGGCCGCCTCCTCTCCAGCAGCAGGTACTTGTTCTGCAGCTCGTAGACCACGTCCTCGGCGGCCCGCCTCTTCTGGGTCACTTCCCTCACCTCCCGGCGGAGCCGCTCGGCTTCCTTCTCCAGGACCGGGTCCTTCTCGTGGCGCACCACCTCCTTGTTCACTGTCTTGGTCTCCACCTTGGACCTCTCCCGCTTCCACTCATCACGCTCCCCCTGCAGCCGGATGAGCTGCTCCTGGGCCCGCCCACTGGTGTTGACCAGCTCATTGAGCTGAGCCTTCAGGCGGTCGATTTCCCGCAGCACCTCGGGACTCCTCTCGTGCTTCACCACCTCCTGCGTCACCTGCTTGTACTCCACTGTGGGCTTCTGGGCCCGCAGGACCGCCAGGTCAGGCAGCAGCTTCTCCACCTCCTTCTCCGTGCTGCTCCTCTTGCTGGCAGTCTCCTGCAGCTCGGCCCGGAGCCGCGTGATCTCCCGCTCCGTCTCTGGATCCACCTGGAAGATCTCGTTGACGCGCTCCTGGAGCTCCACTTTGGGCTTCTGCTTTTCCACCACGCTGTACTTGCTGTGCAGTTCCTGCAGCTCCCTGGCCAGAGCTGCGTTCTTACTCCTCTCCCCCTCCAGGAGGCTCCTCAGCTGGGACGCCTCTTTGAGAAGGCCTGGGTCCTGCTCCACCTTCTTCACTTCCTTCACGATCACTTTTGGCTCCACGGCGCTGATCACCCTCTCCAGTTCTTCAATGCGAGCCTGCAGCTTGGCCACGGCCTCCTCCGCCCCCTTCCTCTGTGCAGCGTCCTCCTCGATCTGCAGCCTCAGAGCCTGGGCTGCCTTGACCATTTCCAGGTCCTTCTCTACCTTGACCACTTCTTTCACCACAACCTTCTCTTTCACATTTGCTTTCTTCTGCTCGAGGGCCAGCAGCTCCTTCTTTAGCTCCTCCAGCCGGGCCAAGACAGCAGTGTTCTCCTCCCGCAGGTGCTGGATCTTGCTGCTGAGCTGGGCCGCCTGACTGTCCAGGCCTGGGTCCCTCTCAATCTGAGTGACCTCCTTGGTCAGCAGGTGGGGCTGTATGGCCTTCCTTTTGCCCTCCAGCTGGATGACCTTCTGGGCCATCGCCTCCAGGTCTGCCTGCAGGCCGGCCCGCTTCTTGCCCTCGTCTTCCACCTGAGACTTCACCCTGGACAGGTGGCTCTCTAGCTGGGGGTCCCGGTAGAACTCCACCACTTCCTTCTCCTCCAGCCTCTCCAAGGGCCTCTGGGTCCTCAGCTGCAGCAGCTGGTTCCTCTGTTCCTCCAGCTCATGCTGCACCTGGGCCACCCGCTTCCTCTCGTCCTCCAGCTGGGACTTCAGGGCCTCTGACTCCTTGCCTGCTTGGGCTGGGCTCTCGGACCCCTGCTGTGCATCATGGGTCACCTGGATGTCCTCACTGAGTTCCTTCTGCAGAGTGAGAGGAAGAAGGGGAGAGCACTAGGGGGAGGGGGAAGAAAGGGATGAGCCCCATTCCCACTGCCCCGACCACCGAGATCAGAGATCCTTGCTGCTTCCTGAGACTTCCTGGTAGGTCCCTGGAGGTGGAGCTGAAGACCTGAGATGCTTGGCTGCAGGATTTTGAGAGAACCCACTAACCCCGTGATGTTAGGATGCAAGGCAGTGTTCAGGCTGAGTTTGCACTAGGACATGCAACAGCGACAGGTTCTCCCTTCCAAACCATTCCCTTTCCCCTCCATCCAGGCTCCCAGAAATGGGCCCATACTCCTCCGGGGATGCTGGAGTACTCCTCTGGGTAGGAGAAAGCTGGCAAGTTCCTTGGCCAGTCACCAAGAGTCGTGGAGAGCTTCTGGCTCCTGGTCTCCCAAGGATAGAGACTTAGGTGGCCTCTTGCCCACTGTAGCTGGGTCCTAAGGCTGAAAACTTTGTGGGGATTTTCTGCTGTCCCCACTGGGGGACGGCCCAGTGGCTAAGCTGTGACTTCCCTGAATGACATCTCAGGGCCTAACTCTGAGATGGATACCAACCTGTAAGAGCTGTTGGGGAGAGAACTGGGGGAGGCAGGGAACTGCACCCGCCTCAGGCCACTGAGCCTGCCCTGGGGCTGCAGGCTGTAGGGTGAGGAGGAAGGGAAGACTGCCAGGTCAATGGCCGGGCCAGGCTATCTAGTTTGGGAATGGAGTGGGCATCATCCCCATACCTTCTCCAGCAGCTTTCTGGCAAACTCCAGTTGGTGCAGCTGCTGCTGATGCATAGCTGCAACCTCAGTATAGGCCTTTGTCAGGTTCTTCTCCTGTAGTGGCCAAAGGGAGGGAGAAGGAGGGCAGGGTCAGCTCCCACCTCAGAGGCTTTAGAGCTGGTGCCAATGGACACAGAGCCCTGTGGGGTCTCCTCTCACCTGGGCCTGGATGCTCTCCTGCAGGGGAGCCACTC